CAGCATTTAGTAAGTTGATAAAAATGACTGTGAGCAGATATTTCACCTCACCTCCTGGAGACACAGGTTATTCTGTTTAGAGTTCTGGAAATAAATAGATAAATAAAGAATATGGGGAAATAAAGGTCTATCAATAAAAGCAGTTTGTGTTCATATAAACTGAGTTTACTCCCAGCAACTCCAGTTAATAACTCTGAAAGCTACTTTTAAAATAACTGAAAAGAGAATCCATGCTGAGTTTGCCGTGTCCTGTCTGTTCTGGCAAAATGATGTTAAATTAACACAGGAAAACCAAAGCTGATCTTTACAACACTTTGTTCTTCACAAAGCTTCTCCTTTGCCAGTGCCAGTCAGGGGGTGACAGGAGCCTGCTCACCTCCTCGGCGTGGCTGCTCTCACCACTGCTCAGCTCTCCTCAGGACCTCCTCTTAAATTGCTCACAGCTTTTGAGTTGCCTCCACACAACCAGCAGGGTGTGGGGTGGTGGTGGAAGATGGAGGGAGAAGATTGGCATGGGCAGGCTGAATCCTTAGCAGAGAGGGCTGGCTCAGCATGCTGGAGTGTACCAGGAGACAAAGAAAACACCCTATGGCTTTTTTGTGGTATTGTACCTTTTTGACTTACTGTTCAAAATATCTCCTAGGTAAAACATCATAATGAAGGTGGCAGTCCTGTGTTTATGCCTCACCAGCATTGCTGCTGCATGGCCAGTGAGTGAATCTCAAATGCATGTCAGCAATCACTTGCATATTTTCTTTGCATATTAGTAAGAAAATCAAACTGACAAATGCTTTTTCTCCTTCCTCCCCTCAGGTGAGTAAGCCCAAGCAGCACGCCGTTTCTGCCAGCTCCGAAGAAAAATATGTAAGCTCCCTTTGTCTATTAATTTTCTTTGATAAAACCTTCTTGACTTTTTTTTTCCTCTCTAATACACATTCCCTGATACTTGTTTTGAGTCCTCTCCCTATGCAGTGAAGGGCTGAGCACACCCCCTGTGCCAGAGGACTGTGCCCTGCTGTTGCTGCAGGCAGCCTTGCCCGCTCTTGTATGCTCCCTCGTGGATCAAAACTCCTTTTTTTCCTTGCAGGACCCCAGGGGCCACCACTCATACAAATACCAACACCATGTGAATTCTCAGTCTTGGGAGAGTCTGCAGCATGAGTCTCAGGATGACCTGGAGTCCCCTCAGCAGGTAGGGCAACTAACTGGAAGAGAGAGCAGAGCATCTTTCAGTGCTGAGATTTGCAAGTTAGGATTAAGGGCTTAAAGAAGAGTCAACATGCTGATCCACTCTATTGTATGTGCTTTTGTGTGCTAACAGTGAGTTTTATGTCATTTTCAGACTCTTTACTCTTCAGAGGAAAGTGTGGATGTCCCAGTACAAACGGTAAGTGTTTGGAACAGCAAAATGCCAGTCGAGTGCTGCAGGGCAGCCAGTGTGCAGCAGCTTTAATTCTCTTCAGTCAAATGTGGTTCTAGTGGTAACGCCTCTCCCTAAATAAAACAAAGCTCCAGGCAAGGTGAGGTGAATTCAGAGCCACTCATGCACGTAGCTCCTCAACAGAGCAGCACAGACACCCGTCTGTGACTTGCCTGACACATACTGCCTGTTTTCCAGCACGCTCCTGACGTGTCAAGCAAGAGCCATGAAGATGTGGATGACAACGACGACAACGATTCCAACGACACGGATGAGTCTGATGAAGTTGTCACAAGTTTCCCCACCGACATCCCGGTAACCTTCCCCCCCTTCCCTTTCTCCCGGGGGGACAACGCTGGCAGAGGCGACAGCGTGGCCTACAGGGCGAGGGCAAAGGCCACGGTGGTGAGGTCCGGCAAACTCCGCAAAGCTGCCAAGCAGGTGAGCCCCCTGCCCAGCTGCAGTGCCCAGCGGCACCTGCCGGCGGGGCCGTCCCGCGGGGTGACAGCGGCTCCTTCTGTTAACGCAGCTCCTGGGGTACGACACCGCAGAGGAGGATGAGAGCGCCCTGGATGCGGCCAGCCAGCAAGCAGGGCTGCCCTGGGGGGCTCCTGCTGCCCGCCGCTCCCTGGGCAAGCACGACATCAGCGGGGAATGGGCCGACAAGGGCCAGGGGCACGACAGCCTGGAGCTGGGCAGCAAGCAGCACCACCACAGCATGGAAAACGACAGCCGGCAGAAATTTGATAGCCACGAGGCAGAAGATGATAGCCAGGCTGGTGTTTTTTTAGAAAGCAGGGAGAGCCAGGTCCGAGTTTCAGCTGAGATCCCCGACGATAAGAGCAATCAAACACTGGAGAGTGCCGAGGATGCTCGAGATCGTGACAGCATCAAAAACAATGAAGTCACCCTTTAAAGGGAGACAAATAGAACGCTTCCCTTCTTCAGTTCCTACCTAAGGGGAGGGAGGAGTAGCTTCATTTTGGGTACCTGTAAATGTAGAGCGTGCGGTGACTCTCTGGGAGTGGGGCAGCTTGTTTGTGGCCGGGTGCCCGCGGTGCCAGCCCTACGCGGGACAGCGCGGGCAGCGGCGC